TGCAGGTGCGTGGCAAGCGACAGAGAAGTTGCCGTAATGCGGCCTCTGGGATTAGCGCCGTGTCGGTGTTGTGGTGCGCGTCCGGTGGGACCGGTTTCTTGATTACCGGCGAGAGAGAGAGGGTGGGAGAGTGGGAGAACGGCGAGAGAAATGGAGGGAAGGAAGAAAGAAAAAGTACAAAAATAGGAGGGAGAGACCGGGCGAGAGAAGGAGAGAGAGAAAGAGGGAGAAAGGGGGAGAGAAAATTTTGAGCTTGATGGAAAAATGAACAAGTCCCGTTGTGCAGCGTAGTCGCTCAAGTATAATAGAAATGGGACTCTATTGAGACAATGGAAAGGTAATCAATTACTTCAGGGCTGAGGGAAATGCCTATCGCATTTCAAGGGAGATTACACCTGCTATTTGCAGGTTAGGCAGCATTATTTTCTTTCATCTCATCTTACATATTTTCACAGCTGCAATTAGTTTGGGTTGGAACGGCATAGATGAGCTGGTTTCGGGTGACTATGAAAGAGAGCAAAAAGCTAATAGATGTAATATCCGTGACACGGTCTATCAGTAACCAGAGAAAATTGAAGATTTATACCGACAACTATATATATATAGATATATAGATGGCAATAACAGCATACCAAAAAATCATTCAAAGAAGTACGCTCAATATGGTAACACTTGTCACTTACTATGAGCAGCAAGATACTAACTATTCAGGCCCACGCAGATACCGGTGAGCCATTCGCCTGCGTTGGAAACACGGAATATATAGTCTACGACATATATAGTCTGTCGTAGACTATATATTCCGTGGTTGGAAGAAGGCACCAGTGCGTGAGCGATTCAAGCAACCATCCATCACTGAAACTGAAATAAATGTCAGGGAACTGCACCATTTTTCTAGACCGAACACCGAGCGGGCTCTGTAACCAACATTGTTTCCGGAGACAATTGATTGCCAACCAAACATTGCTCAGGCCTCGGGGAACAAAGTGGTGGTAGGTGTCTCTTCAGGTCGATAGATTGGGCTATTTATTTGTGTGACAGCTCGGCTGTGACGAAATTCCCCTAAAACATTTTCACGCTCGCTCAGAGAATAGACTCAGTCGTGATGTTTGCAATGCTTCAAGGGCTAACGTACAGGTCATATCAGCCGGGGATAGTTTGCCGTAGGATATAGTGGCAGAATGTTTTTGAGGTCCGGTGAAATAACTTAGATACTACATAGTTAGACGAATAAGGTGATGTTTGCCTCATTTTGTTCAGCATCTTGCAGACGGTGTTGTCTGTTCCTTCTCAGTGTGCACACTGAGTAGGAACTGCTATTTGGTATGCTATTTGCTAGACAACGAGCGCTAGATGACATGCTATTTGATGTTTGAGTACATACTAGATTTGTACTTTTTCAATGCTTTTAAACTTTTTGTCGGCTTATACTTATTAGTGCTAATAATAGGTTATGCATAGCTCACATGCTATAAAAATGATTGCATGAAGTACTTTGATAAGCTTTACTGCAGCTAATCTCACCTAGAAAGACATCATGATCATTTAGATCAATAACATCTTGTCTAAATTAGCGTCGTCTGAACCCTGCGGCAAACGCACACGAATATTTTTTAGCAGAGTTCAATCATGTTCAATATTGCAGGATCCTCACAAGCCTATACCATTTCAACACTTTTCTCGCCCCCATCGGTCATAAACACGGCTGCCGTAAGCCGTTCCGTGATCAGCATGTTCACGCAATCCCCGGAATTCTGATGCTGCTCCGACGATACGCGCTAAAGCTGTTGTTCCGCCGCGTGACGGTGTTTTCCGGTAGACAGCTTGTTCACTCAGCCGTTGTCGTGACAAGATTACCCAGGCTTGCCACAGGAGTTTTTATTGGCCCCCTGATTAGAGTTGGATAGTGGCTGCTACACGTGTTTACAATCATCACTATTGCCTAAGTGTGGAGGCACGTACGACTATTGCATAGCTGCCGAGAGCTGAATTATTTCATGCTATCTACGGATCAAATGGGTAGGAGCTCATAGCCCATTTATCTATTTTACTCTCCACGATAGCTGTTGCGTTCATTAGTAGCTTATATAAAGGATTTATCACGTCCTCGTGTGACCCAGTTGGATGCGATGACCCATCCACGGTAACACCTCATGCCGCCCCCTTCTCGGTGCACTGACCGCGCCGGACCTGGAGGTGTCTATCTCAGCCTCCTCGTACCCGGAGTTGGGTGGTTGTATTCTACTCACGTCAGCCTCAGGTAACTGAGTCCGGCCGTTGGGCCTGCGCCAGCACAACAACTACGTCATTTGGTAGTGGTGAAAATGTGGCTTAATGTTAGGTACTCACACCCAGCTGTTCAATTAGCTGAACAAAAGATAATAGGTACTCGTAAGAGTTGCATGTAATGCAATTTCAACATGTGTAGTTGTTTATTCTTTAATGAAACTTCGTCATTGTACATTATTAAATAGGATTTTATTGTTTGTAAATCATGACAACATTTGCAATAAATAAATTACTTTTTCCGTCCAACACCTTGAATATTCTATGTGATTGACAAGGACGGTGGATAGGGCCTGCTCTAAATAAGGCATTAGTGCGATGCATTCATAATGCAATCAGCCATGTTTGAAAGTGGACTCAGGACATAATGCAAAACTGTTCGATCTGAATGTTTACTGGAGGCCGAGCCCGACTCGGAGCTCGGCCCAGCCAGGTGGCGCTTGTGCTGCCATCTGCGGTGAAGCCTGCATAGAAACGTTGGCTAGATGGCGCTGTACGGGCTGTGTCGCCTTTCTAGGTGGCAGGCTGGTTCACTATTCAGAGCCATGCCACTGCAAGGCCATAGGTAATAGTGGTGTCAATTACGGAAAATCGGAATACCGATACCAAACCAAATACCAACCAAAACCGTGGGGAAATACCGAAACCAAACCAACTTGGGAAAATGAGGGAAATACCAACTTTTTACCCATTTCTTAGCCTCTTAAACATTAGTGAGGGTTAATGATACCAACAAAATACCAAACACATTACGATTAAAATACCAAATACCAAGTTGGTATCGGTTTGGTATCGGTATACCAAAAAGTTGGTATCCGATTGACATCTCTAATAGGTAAGGTAATAGGCATGTACTCGTATCTTGGAACGGTGACGACACGATATTTCACTTTGAGAATGGCATATTTCCTGACCATTGGGCTGCCTTTCCCTACGAAGTCTTGGTAAACCTTTATAATATTTCTGGCTGGTGGCATCCGTACGCTTTCGCTCAGTGATCATCAGCGATATGACTAAACAATTATCTGTCGATAATGTTCGTATCTCAATGAATATGTCCTATCACAGAACGTAGTCGCATCGATCCCAGAGCAATGGAAAACTACTCAAGCACAAAAGATGTCTCCTGTCGATCTTCGTGGGTATGATTGCTGTTACTCCAATCATAGGTATTGGCATTTGCCAGCGATATAAAATGTATCCCCAGATACTGATCTCCAGGGATAGTTGTGTGTGCCGTAGCCATGGTACCGCTCTGGCTATTGATACTGGTGGCGCAGCGCCAAGTCTTCTGCAGATTCCTCGGCTAGATATGATGTGATGTCCGGTTGTGTAACGCTGCGGGGTGGGGCCAACCTTTGGATCTACCCTGCGCGTTGTATTAGTTGGCCTTTGTAACGGTACTCTGAATCTGACGTGATCGATGTTTCCACGGACGGGAGGCCGTGTATTGTGCCAAGTGTAACAGATTCATTCACATTTATGCAGGTCAAGGGTCGACATGATTCGATTTTGTATCAGAAGCTCCCCGCCCATATCTGCTTGTGACACTACAAACGCCGCTCGAGTCCGCATTCTACGGCTGACTGCAGTGACTGTGATCTTATAAAACATCGCAGCTGCTCAAGCATTGTAGTGCACATTGAAAAGCCGGCTTTGTGAATCCGTCAATGGCAATTTCACTGTCCTCCTGACATGCATTGAACGGCCTGCGGAACAGCGATTCATCATCCATTCATGATCCAAAACACCTGTCATGTCTTGCAAGTAGCGTCCGCCGCCATGGAAGCAGGGTGTTCATTGTGACAGCAAGCAGTCAGGCACCAGTGTAGCAGAGCCCGAACTCAGTCAGTACCTAGCTGGTTAGTTGCATATGCTCGCCAGCTGGTATTGAACTGAGATATATATTCTCCCTCTCGGCTCGGTTTGGCACAAACTCGGTGGAAAGGTGTGGGATTTGGAGATATCTTTCTTCGTGGCCGGTGTAGCTCTAATCGTTACCAGCTGGCCGTCATTCGGTCTTAGTGGTGTCGGAGAATGCACACCTGAGCAGCGGGCAATTGCCGATTTAGGACGAAGGAACTCCTTCTGCTCAACCTACTACTTCCGTTAGGGATTTATACCAGCTGTGCGGAATGGGAAACTTACGACTGTCCTGACGCCATGCAATTTCGTGTTTATGTTACTATGGAAAGGTTATCATAAAGTGTCTTCAAAATCCATGAAGGGAAAAGAAGCCCCAATACCATGGATCCATTGGCATGCCGCTATATTTTTTGTTTGCCCTTCCTTTTTCAAACGCGTTTATACCTCTTCCTCTCCCGCGGCGGGCGGCACGGACCGTGCGGCACAGTCTAACTTCAGGCGTCCACTACTGCTGCCATCTAGCGGACGGAATAAAAGCCACGCCCGCTCGAGAGATGGTGCTCAAAGGGAACGTGCTCTCGCGGGATTCATTGGCGTAATACGTTGCCTTTTTCTGTTTATACCTTTTCTGAGTAATTAACGCTTTTGCTGGCTATTACAGATAACTAAAAATTTGATGAAAAACGGATGCAAGCGCATAGTAGGTATTACACTACGACAGAGCGAAAGTACCGACTTAGGTGCCTGTTGTGATGTTATTTGGTCCCGCTCCACTGTGCGGCTCGGTTCGCCCTGCCTGGTCCCGGCGTCCCGGTCTGCCAGTCACGTGACCGCCCGAGGACTCGGGTCACCGGCCGCGGTGGCCGGCGCGGCGGCGGGGACTTGGACACGGGACGCGGTCACGGACGGACGCGCGCTGCGTCATGCTTTGTTTAGCTTGCATTATCAGTGTAATATAACTTACGAACGCGTGGTGAGTGAGTTTAAGTGAAACCGAAACATGGCGCGGTCGGTAGCCGTATAATTCTTTTTAGTAATTTAACGTAACTGAGCCAAGATGCCGAACGACACTTTGGCACCGGCGGGCGGTGCACTTCAAGTCTCAGCAGCAGGCACTGCCTGGCTGGGAAGGGCGGCACAGCCCGACCGACTCGACCTGTCCACCGAGCGAGGTGACGCGTTCCGGACCTGGAAGGAAAGATGGGAGGACTTCTATCTTCTCGCCGGCATCGGAGCGATGGAGCCCAGGGCACAGATGGCCGCTCTTCGCGCCTGCCTCACCGACGACACGAACCGAGTCGTCCGTAATCTGCCGCTAGAAGAGGACGAACGGCAGGACGTGCACGCTGTGCTCCGTCAACTGGAGGTCTACGCCATTGGCCAGGTGAATGAGGTCCTAGAAAGGAAGAGGTTCAATAGCAGGGTTCAGGGTGATGGAGAGACTTTTGATGACTTCCTCACGTGTCTCCGTGACTTGTCTCGTTCTTGCAACTTTTGCTCTTCATGTAACGAGTCACTTATCAGGGACCGTATTGTTATTGGACTGAGGTCCGCAGAGACTGTGCAAAAGCTCTGTGCCATACCAAACCTGTCTCTGTCGGCTGCAATATCTCTCTGCAGGTCCCAGGAGGCGGCGCACCGGGACGCCGCCGAGATTCGACGACCAGACGTCGTCGCCCGCATCGGCGACCCCAGCCACGAGGACGACGGCCGAGAACCACAGCCGTCAGCCACTTGCCGAGTGTGCGGACCGCAGAGCGCCCGGGGAGCGCAGCCACCTCGCCCTGAGGCTCAGGGACATCGGACGGCCTTTCCGCCGCAACGTCCAGCACCGTCAGCGAACGCCGACAGCGTGTGCCGCAACTGCGGCTACCTCCATCGCCGAGCAAACGACTGCCCAGCCCGGGGGCGAGAATGCCGTAACTGCGGTAAAATCGGTCATTTTGCCGCAGTCTGCCGCTCCCGCCCGATGGAGACAGCTCCCGGTCAACATGGTCAGGCTGAACCCCCATGGCCAACCACATCAGCTATCATCGCCTCCACTGCAGCTACTGGAGCGCCTCGTATCCTGGTCGGCATAACAGTCGGACGGCGCTCGGCGAAGGTGAACGCCCTGCCAGACACCGGCGCGGACGTGTCTGTCGGCGGTGAAGACCTCCTGCAACAGCTCGGACTGCAGGCAAATGACATCAGTCAACCGTATCTTCACCCTCGGGCAGCGAACGGCACCACCCTCAGGTCGGTGGGTGTACTCCACGCCGTCATCACGCTCGATGACGCCTCTGCCGAGGAGGAGGTGCACATCCTTCCAGGAGTCAGCGGACTTCTCATGTCCTGGAGTGCAACGAGGCACCTGAGACTGGTACCGGCCGACTACCCCTGCCAAATCTCGGCGATGAGTGGACCACGTCTGGCCGAAGACGCGACTCGGAGAGGTACCGAGCTCGGTCCTCCTCCGTCTCCCCCGGCTGACGACATCAATTGGATCGGTACCGAGACCGGTCCGCCTCCGAGGGATGCAACGCGACCGCAGACTGCATCGGTGCGTCAGGACGACCCGGATACGCCGGGACAGGACCATCATCCGAAACCAAGTGAGTACAGCGATCTGTCTCAGCTAACTCATGAGTTCGAAAAAGTGTTTGATGGCCATATTCGCACCATGCCAGGTGAGGAATTCACCATTCACCTCCAACAGGACGCACGTCCCTTCTGCGTCACAGCCCCCCGGCGGATCCCACTGTCCCTCAGAGAGCCCCTTAAGGCCGAGCTGGAAAGGCTGGAGAGTGAGGGGGTTATCCGCCGGGTCACTGCCCCAACTGAGTGGTGCGCTCCAATCGTGGTCGCCCCTAAGAAAGGTGGCGCGGGCGTGCGCTTGTGCGTCGACCTGTCCCAACTCAACAAGTACGTGCGTCGTGAGCTGTACCAGTCACCCACTCCAATCGAAGAGGTCGCGTCGATTCATGCTTCAGAGGCCCGCTGGTTCACCGTATTTGACGCACTTAAGGGTTACCACCAGTGCCCACTGGCCAAAGAGAGCCAGCCCTTGACAACATTCATCACGCCCTTCGGCAGGTTCGCGTTCCTACGGGCCCCCTACGGAATAACCTCGATCGCCGAACACTACAATCGCAGGATGGATGAGGCATTTGAAGGGATGACAGGGTTTAGAAAAGTCGTAGACGACGTCATCGTTTTCAGCCGCACCAGAGAGGAGCACATCCAGCATGTGCGGAAGTTCCTGGCCCGCTGCCAGGAGAAAGGCATCTCCCTGAACGCCAGCAAACTCCAGCTGGCACAGCGGACAGTCAAGTTCGCTGGGTTCATCGTGTCAGGGGATGGCTATCGACCAGATCCTGAGCTCGTCAGGGCTCTCTCCGACTTCCCGACGCCCGGCAACCTGACCGAGGTCCGGAGCTTCTTCGGGCTCGTCAACCAGCTGGCGTACTTTGTGGAGAACATTTCGGAGCATCTTACTCCGCTCCGACCACTCCTGAGCTCGAAAAGAGAGTTTGTGTGGGATGAGATTCACCAGGTAGCATTTGAGCGCACCAAAGCTGCCCTCTCTTCCGTCCCGACGCTGGCCTTCTACGACCCGAAGCTGCCAACTCGCCTGGAGACCGACGCCAGCCGAGTGCGCGGGATTGGGTTTGTCCTGCGCCAGCGCCAGCGGGACGGCACGTGGCGCGTGATCCAGGCCGGATCGCGCTTCTTGAGCGACGCGGAGTCCCGGTATGCTGTGATAGAGTTGGAAGCCTTAAGCGTGGCGTGGGCGACTCGCAAGTGTCACTTGTTTCTGTGTGGATTACCGCTGTTCCAGATACTGACCGATCACCGGCCACTTGTGCCAATCTTGAACAGCAAGACGCTGGACGAGATAGAAAATCCTCGCCTCCAGCGACTCCGGATGAAGATAGGAGAGGCAGGTCCCTTCACAGCAAGTTGGAGAGCAGGAAACGAGCACGGAGCTCCGGATGCCCTCTCGCGAGCGCCTGTACAAGATCCTGTGCCAGGAGACGAAGTTGGCGAAGATGGATCAGTAGCACAGGTGTGTACCGTCATCAACGCCGAGCTCGACGCCACGGACACCGATGTCCGACTAGATGAGGTACGTCGCGCCGCTCAGTACGACCCTGAGTACCAGATTCTGACACGCACCGTTACAGAAGGGTTCCCATCGGCCAAACACGATTTGCCGGAGCCCATACGTAAGTACTGGCCCGTACATGACCGGCTGACCATCGATGAGGGTCTGGTTGTATGTGGATGTCGTCTTGTCATCCCACAGGCGCTAAGAAGGACAGTGTTGACAGCGCTCCATGACGGTCATCTCGGTAAGGAGCGGACGAAGAGCAGGGCCCGCCTTACCGTCTACTGGCCTGGGATGGATGCCGACATCGAGAACGTGACGCGGGGCTGCGAGCGATGCCAGCGGGAGCTTCCGTCTCATCAACGGGAGACCATCGTCCACCACCAGCCCGCAGAGAGACCGTTTCAGTGCCTCGATCTAGATGTCGCCGAGCACGCCGGCCGTAAGTACCTTATCGCTGTTGACGGCTTCTCTGGATGGCGTTTTATCAAGCCGCTAGGGATCAGTGCTCATACTCAGAAGTTGACGTCCGCGATGCGCGAAATCTTCTGTCAAGTTGGCGTGCCAGAAGCGATAATGTCTGATGGAGGGCCCCAGTTCACTTCGGGTGCATTCCGGGTGTTCCTTCAGCAGTGGGGCGTTAAACACCGCATGTCTTCCCCCCACTACCCCCAGTCGAATACCCCCAGTCGAGGGCTGAGGCGGCAGTGAAGTCAGCAAAGAAATTGATTCGGTGCTGCTGGGATGATTCCAGGTGCTGCCTCGACGAGGAGAGATGGACCAGAGGCGTGCTCCAGCATCGGAACACACCCGGACCGGGAGGCCGCTCGCCCGCCCAGATCGTCTTCGGTCGGCCAGTCCGAGACGTGCTCCCCGCTCACAGACGCAGCTTCGCTCCGGAGTGGCAACTCACCGCTGAACGAGCCGAGGCAAAGCTGTCTGAGCAACAGCAACGCGCTGATGACATCTACAACAGACAGGCGAGGGATCTGACACCCCTGACTGTCGGAAACCAAGTCGCCATTCAAGATGATCGGTCCAAACGCTGGGACCGGCACGGCGTCATCTGTGACGTTGGCCCCCATCGGAGGTACTTCGTTCGTCTGAGCAATGGACGGGTGCTGACGCGGAACCGCCGGCACCTACGGCGACGCTACGGACACGCCATGCCGGAGGAACTGACGCAAGAGCTCCCTTCAGCGGCGCCGAAGTCCGGTGGCCCTACCGTCGTACCGGCTCCGGAGAACGGTGGTACCTTGCGAAGGTCCACCCGCACCCGGCGTCGGCCTGTGAGGCTGATTGAAGAAATATGAATTGTTCGCACGGCTCGGGGGAAGGGGAGATGTTGTGATGTTATTTGGTCCCGCTCCACTGTGCGGCTCGGTTCGCCCTGCCTGGTCCCGGCGTCCCGGTCTGCCAGTCACGTGACCGCCCGAGGACTCGGGTCACCGGCCGCGGTGGCCGGCGCGGCGGCGGGGACTTGGACACGGGACGCGGTCACGGACGGACGCGCGCTGCGTCATGCTTTGTTTAGCTTGCATTATCAGTGTAATATAACTTACGAACGCGTGGTGAGTGAGTTTAAGTGAAACCGAAACAGTGCCCTGAATTTATGTGGTTACTTGTTACCGACTAACAAGGAGTGGGTCTGACGGCCAACGACGAGATTTTTTGTTTAGATTTGCGTTTCTTCACTGGCCATAGAGCCTCTGGTGAAATTGATAATTATTCAGTGATTGCAATATCTGGTGTGGTCTCTGTCTTTTGCATTTCATTTCATACTCGTATATACAAGTAGATAGGAGAACGTAAATTAGGTAAAATAAAAACCAATTAACACACCAAATTGATGGCATTCCCATTAAATGTAGCTTCCATAACATTTCTTCTCTTTGATCAGTCGTTACACAGTTCGATGCGCCATTCATCCGTGCAACCATGCCAACTTGAAAAGCTACCCATCTTTTCAAACAGCGTGTTACAAGATCGTTTACGCTCTCCGGTCTGGCGGACATGAAACACGAGCCCGGTGGCCCGATCAATCGGCTCTGCAGTCGATCAGAGCGGCGCGACGCGGCGTCCGGACCGCCAGCTGACGTAACCGGTAGTCGGGGACCAATTAGTTGCATCCAGCCGCGATTACTTAGCCGTAAATCAGCCGCGCTGTCGCTGCCGAGACTGCGGGAGGATTGCATCGCTCGCGGATACGAATTTCGACCAGACACGCTAGGTGTCTGTATTTGTGTTGTTGCGAGTCAGGGTCTGTAGAGTCAAGGGGAAGAAGAGGCTGCCTACCGGCCGCTGACCGGCGCGGCGGCTTGACACGCCAGTGCTGACGGAGACACAACTCTGTCTGGAGTCGGATGACCTCAGCCCGCTCCCTGCGGTCACCGCTGTGACGTCACAGACAGATGCATGTCCCAGATGGCGGAAATAAGGTGAAGTTGCCGGCAGGCTACCGGCGGCGGCGCGGCCGGGTCGGCTGGGCCGCCCAGCGCCCCTGAAATCCGCAGCCGACCGATGACGTCAGCGAACAAGCCCCGCCCCCGGGTGTGACGCAGGCCGCCCCGCGGCGACGGGACGTTCGGACCCAAAATCGTTAGCGCTCGCCGGAGCGAAGTAGCCGGCGGCGGCGGTACCCTGAGGCGACACAACAAAATCAGAGGCCGCCCAGCTACGACAAGCCTGCCGCCGCTGAACACTGCAGAGCAGCTGGGAATGAAATGAACTGTAAATATTTATGATTGAAGTTTTGTCGTTGTAGAATTAGGGCCCCCAATTAAGGCGATAATAATTTAAAACGGCAAACTTTCTCTTCCACCCTCAGTTGAGTTATACACAGTAAAATAAACCCAGATAAGTCAGTTAGCGTTAGCTAGCGTATGCAGACTATTGACCAATGGAAAACTCCCCAACTAATCTCCCCACTCCATCTACATATATAGGCCCGCACTGTTTCCTTCTGAGCGCCGGTGTGTGTGTCAGCCAGCGATCGGCTCAGACCCATGGACTTTGTTTGACAGATGCAGCGGAATCCACGGTCTCCGCGCAGAGCACGCGCAATCTCGGTACGTCACTCAGAAATGATCACACTCTGCATGACCCATTGGCCTTGTTATGTTTGGTTACTTAGAGTAGCAGCTAGTCACCAGATTATGACGGCATTAACTCGCGTGTAAGCCGTGTGCCCTGCATGTTCAGTAGTGGCATCCGCTGTACAGAAAGCCGGGTCTTGAGTCATTCCGAACAACCGCCTTTAGACTTAGCGGGATTAATCACTCATTAATCATCTGGGGCGCTCGGGTGCTTGGCTTTCTTGGTCTCAGTGAGTCACAGCGAGGTGGGACTCGTGGCTAACCGTACCAAAGGCGGAGAGAGTCGCTTCACCAACAGCACCGTTACCTGCGCCGTGCAGCGCGCTACAACTTATCTACATGCAGACGGGTGACCTGTATCACACCGCTCTGCGACTGACCTAGAACTGGGCGCGAAAACGGTGCACGGCCCCCCGCCGCAGCCGCCGCTGCAGGGAACGCCCTCTTGCGTCAGCACCTACCTGCGAGGTGCCGTCGCCGATGGAATGCGCAGACACCATTAAAGGCCATAACCGAAATGGCGACACGACTTGTAAAGTCGCCACCTGTGACTAGGGATGAACGGCAGAGACACGTGTTAGGGAGTGCCTGGATGGATGGCGCATGTCGCCTTCAAAGCGAGAAAGGCACAACGTCTTGTACCTTGGTAAAGGCACAAGTTGGTTAGCAGGCTGTAGAAACGCCTCCGTTTATGCAAGATTCACTTTCATTTTGTTTCTTCTCTTTTTAGTGTGAGTACAACTTGACATGAACTGATAGTTCCTAATAATATTGTAGCAAAGAAAAGGTATTCCGCTTTAAACTTACGCTATCAAGCATTATGCTTGATTGCCCAATTAAATATTCAACCGTTGTCGAAGGGCTTATTTCCTTGCAGTGCCATGCAGACTTTGGGTAGTGCAGGTCAAAATCAACTCATGACGGCCTTTTTTGGATCCCAACTACGCACCATGTGCCGTAGCTACGTCATCAGGCCAGCCACGGAATGCAGCAGCGCTGCGGCCTTAGGTGGCAGCGGGTCAGGACCGGCGGAGGCGGCAGGACGGGCCGGCCGGCCGGGGACCGGCGCCGCGCCGTGCTGCGGTCCGGGTTATGCGCAGCAGCGGCGGCGGCTAGTTATGCCGGTGACCCTGCAGTGCGCGGCAGGTCCGGCCGCACGCCGCCGCCTGCTGACTGCTGACGGCACCGCCGCGGTCAGCTGACACGTCTCCTGATCGTGACACTCCTCAGTCAGCTGACACGCGCCGACCACCGAGATGGAAACCCGTCCTACACTGCGTCTCAAATCGGGTCGGTCGGCTCAGATAGAATCGAATAGGTCCGGATCGGTCAGCTCCGCGCCGTGGCCACACTGAGGTGACCCAGGTGAAGATAGCGACGACTGTAAAAACGGCATCTGTGTCCAGGGCCGTGACTAATACTCCCCTATTTTTGGTAACGAGATTCTGGCGTCATTAGAGACTGGTATGATAAAATATGGGGGAAGTGAGTGCCGTAAAATGACACGTCTGCACATCTGCCCGTCCCGGCGCGCCTACGTGCCGTCCAGCTGAGGTCGTATAAATCTGCTGCTGTCTGTGACGCGTCTGCTGTATGCCCTGCTGGTGATAATCTGGGGTTTTATAGATCTCGGTGGGGATCTGGCGATACTTGGTCCCGTGGCCACACAGCCGTCATTTTTGCAACTGACACCACTGCCAGAAACACCAACACTCTCTAGCACCACTGTTAATACCACTCTGTCTTCTATCGGCACCACCTGATCGTCACCACCGTCACCAGTCACCACCACCACCACCACCACCTCTGTCGCCATCGCCACCACGTCTGCTCCGTCAGGGGATCCGCCGTGACCGTCGTCCAATGCCCCAGCCATCACGACTGCCATCACGACTGCCATCCCGGACTCCAGTCACCGTTGGCCGTCTGTTTGATCTGTGTCCAGCGGCAGCCTCATTTCGGCAGCCGCTCCGTGACATGGCGGCCTTTCAGAGGTCGAACGTGCCGACCAGTGCCGCCCCAGAGCGCCCGCCATCTGTCTGCGGTGCTTGTTTTTGGAGGTGGGCTTTATGAACGGCATCGGGGGAGGCCGGCCGGCCGTGCCGCTGGTGCCGCGCCGACCGACGGGGACTCGGGAGGGAGATTTATGGCACGGCGGGATGTCAGCTCAGTTCAGGGCCACGATGAGTGGCTGGCATGTTTGCGGATTGGGAGGACGATTAAGTTGTGTTTTTGCAATCAAGGCGGGTTGTTGACCAGAAAATTGAGATGGACTCTTTATATGAGGTGCTTGTGGAATTTAATTATGTTTAGAGCTATCATCTCCATTAGGTAAGGTTAGATCTGTTCAGTTAAATGAAAAATAATATGCAATTCTTATCTGTAATCAATGTAAACGCGTTTCAATTAATGTTTCGATTAAATGTTTAAACTTAATTAAGTTATTTGTATAATAATTTGTACAGAAATAACTAAATACCAGTTATATGACTGTAGTTGTAAATGTTTCCTTATTTCATACAGCTTGAAATATTCGGAAACTGAGAGAATCGTCAACAGTCCATGTGCACTGTTTATCACTGCAGCCACCATATATGCTTGCATCGCTTACTCGAATCATCTTGCAAGCTTTACATCTACTATACTATTTGTGAAATGAAACTCTGTGTTTCTGTCTGTGTGTTTGCACCGTGCAGAGGGGTGCTTTGACGCCGTGCACAGGTCAAACGGTGCGGTCGATTGGGCTGAAATTTTCGCACGGTGTTGATGACGTCACGCGCACGTGCAGTGTCGAGGTTCGAGTCCCGGGGGGTGGATGGTTCGCACGTGGCACGCCCTGGAAAAGTGCGTATTTCTTCACAAATTTGCTCGGTCTTCAAGGCATCGGCAGCCGGGTTCGATAAACTTTGCAACTAAAATGCATGGCAAGCGGCGGCGGGTGCCTCTCATTTGCGGATCGACAGCTTATTTATTTTGATAAACAGAGGCGAATGAAGGTGTTGATTTTCGGTAAATAAAGACAGTTTTCAATGCGCTTAACCGAATGCACCGCGTTTGCCGCAGTGCGCCACATTTGTCCACATGCGCTATTGTTGCCGCAAATCGCGCAACTTTGTCAAATATGGTCCGATAAACGTGCAATTCGGTGGAAGGATGCATGACAAAACGACAAGTACAAATGCACCAGTTTTGTCGCAATGCGCCACATTTGTCACAAGGCGCCAGTTCAACCAAATACGATTAAGAATAATGGAATGACGCGAGTAGGAGAAGGGTTAGGAACTCTTTTTTTAGTTTATCAGTTAATCTGATGGTCTGTGACCTCACATGACCCAGTGGTAGTGGAAGGTGTAGTGGTAGTGGTAGTAGTAGTGGTAGTAGAAGTGGTAGTGGTAGGAGTAGCGGTAAGGGTAGGGGTAGTAGTAGGGGTAGTAGTAGTGGTAGGGGTAGTAGTAGGGGTAGTGGTAGGGGTAGGGGTAGTGTTAGGGGTAGTGGTAGGGGTATAGTGTTAGGGGTAGTGGTAGGAGTAGTGGTAGGGGTAGTGGTAGGGGTATCAGTAGTGGTAGGGGTAGTAGTAGGGGTGGTAGTAGTGGTAGGGGTAGTAGTAGGGGTAGTGGTAGGGGTAGGGATAGGGGTAGGGGTAGTGGTAGGGGTAGTGTTAGGGGTAGTGGTAGGAGTAGTGGTAGGGGTAGTGGTAGGGGTAGTGGTAGGAGTAGTGGTATGGGTAGAAGTAGTAGAAGTATGGCCCAGGCCGATCCAATGTGACGTGGTAACCTATACGACCTGGCCTCACCGAAGGTGACCTGGCCTGACCCAGTGTGACCAGGGATGACCATCTTGACCTGACTTGACCCCGTATGACCCAAATTTCATCCAACTAAGCCCTCAGAATAGTTATTATGTTCAAAATTTTCCTCTGCACGTTTCCGTCCATATCTCTGCTTCCAGACGACAGACCGATTTAAATCAAACACCATTCGAAAGCAAATTGGCTGGTGCGGCATTTTCTGGCTACGCCGCGAAGCAAGTGGCGCAGCCGCTTGTCTACTATACTATTTGTGAAATGAAACTCTGTCTGTCTGTGTGTTTGCACCGTGCAGAGGGGTGCTTTGACGTCGTGCACAGGTCAAACGGTGCGGTCGAGGGGGCTGAAATTTTCACAACGTGTTGATGACGTCACACGCACGTGCAGTGTCGTGTTTCGAGTCCCGGGGGGTGGATGGTTCGCACGTGGCACGCGCTGGAAAAGTGCGTATTTCCTCATAAATTTGCTCGGTCTTCAAGGCATCGGCAGCCGGGTTCGATGAGCTTTGCAACTAAAATGCATGGCAAGCGGCGGCGGGTGCCTCTCATTTGCGGATTGACAGCTTATTTATTTTGATAAACAGAGGCGAAAAAAGGTGCTCATTTTTGGTAACTAAAGACAGTTTTCAATGCGCTTAACCTAATGCACCGCGTGTGCCGTGGTGCGCCACATTTGTCACGAGGTGCCGTTTTTGCCGCAAATCGCACAACTTTGTCAAATATGGTCCGATAAAGGTGCAATTCGGTGGAAGGATGCATGACAAAATGACACTGACAGGTACAATTGCGCCACGTTTGTCGCAACGCGCCACATCCGTCACAAGGCGCTATTTCCACCAAATATGATTAAGAATAATGGAATTACACTAGAAGGAGCACGGTTAGGAACTCTTTTTTAGTTCATCAGTTTATATGATAATCTGTGACCTCACATGACCCAGTGGTAGTGGTGGTAGTGTAGTGGTAGTAGTATTGGTAGGAGTAGCGGTAGGGGTAGTGGTAGTATTAGGGGTAGTGGTAGGGGTAGTAGTAGGGGTAGTGGTAGGGGTAGTGGTAGGGGTAGTAGTAGGGGAAGTAGTAGGGGTAGTGGTAGGGGTAGGGGTAGGGGTAGGGGTAGGGGTAGGGGTAGTAGTAGGGGTAGTGGTAGGGGTAGTAGTAGGGGCAGTGGT